CCCAGAAATTCCCAAAGTACCTCCCCCGGGATTGAAACCCCCACCCCTTGGGTCCTGGGGAAGGGTAGGGGATTTGACATTGACCCTGGTCTAAAGGCATCAATGTTCCTAACCCCTGAGGCCAGAGCTCAGATCAAACGGCGCCCTTACCCCTGAGGCAAGCAAGTTGAAGCTATCAAAAGTTTCAAGAAAAAAGAAATGCATTTAAATGTTCGTCTTCCAAGTTTACGCGTATGCAGCTTTGATTATTATTATCAGTACAATACTAACTTCACATTCAGATATGTATGTCATATTTTTGGAAAATTATCCGTGCTTCAACAGGCTAAAACACTCCTTAACTTTTACAGTAACATCCTCATTTTGTCGGGGATTTAGAACCTTATGGCTATCTTGGTATTGGAATAAAACCTGTAGAAACTGAAAGATGAGAACAGGTCATGACATGAACCCTTCGACCTTCCGGATATCATTCGAATTTCAATACAAATTACTTGTTTCAGATTGAATATCAATTGCAGTGGATGATGAAGCGAAAGCAAGATATGCGTGGTTCAAACCACTCTCAACTTTCTCATGCCTTCCCCCATCTTTGAAGCTCCATACGTAGAACTTGTACCCAGTTTCTCTATTGCCAGCACGCCCCACGTGGGGACGGAACCAGGAACCCAAAGTCGAAATTAGTCAAATGAACCACCTTCAAGGGACAGGTTGTTGTTCAAAAGTGATTTAATGCCCCTATTATCCCCTACCCTTCCCCGGGACCCAAAGGGTGGGGGTTTCAATTGACTAGTGCATGATAATTGGGTGTAGCGAAAATTTTCAGTAATGTTGCTGTTAAAATATGACTTATCACAGCTTCCCACGGAAGACCTTGGCAATCATCAGGAGGGCTTAGAGAAGCCCAGAGACGTCCCATCCATAACCTAAAATAGTAAGATCGGAGTCAGTTTTCGTTTCTTGGAAGGGAGAAGAAATGAGGGGTAGGGAGGGAGGGTATGATCGCAGGTTACCCCTTCCCCCTGGGTACTCCCTTATATGGGCTATGTAGGTATGTGTGGCCCCGAAGGGTATTAGTCTGGAAAAGAGTATAAATTTTGACCATTTTGGGCTGAAGTAGGGGATGTTTTTCACTCTGGCTTAGCATTGGGTATTTTGTTTACAACGAACTATTTTTTTATCACATCAACTTTGGCAATTTTAGCTAATTTTGTAGCCCTTCTGGAATGTTTGCGCAAATGAAGGACATTTCTGGTTAGCGGCATCTCAGTCATAGAGCCATGTAGTAATTTTAGAGGTCGGAAATGAGGTATCGATTTTTCGCTTAGGACCGAAATAGAGTATAGGAAAATCACAGATTTTGGTCAGAAGTAACCCCACCCCGGGCCCCCTCCGTTAGAGCCCGGCTGGGGAAGACGTTGCCTGTCAGCGGTTACCAAGCTGTAAACACGTGCCTAATTACGAATTAGCGAATTGGCGCGGAATAGATTTTGACCTTTTCTTACAATATTTTCATTTCCTAACCATGTCATCCTTAGCTAATGGACCAGGAACACCACTCAGAAAGGCAGTGGGTCCTGCAGCGAAAGTCGCCGTTGTTTTAGGAGCACAATGGGGTGATGAAGGGAAAGGAAAGCTCGTCGACATCTTGTCCACAAATGCTGATTTCGTTTGCCGGTGTCAGGTATGCAAAAACAAAGTGAATTACTGTAATCTATTGTAGCTTATGTTCGTATTGTATAGATCTGTAAAGGGAGATCTTTGGTCTACACGCGAAGATGATTAATCAAGTTCGCAGGTTTTGTAAACAGCAGCTCAGCATTTCAGTTGCTTTGCTTCATTTAACATGAACCGGCTTGAATGTTGACTTACGTGGCTCTTATGCTTATTTCATGGTTTGATCTGCCATGGCTTGCTGTCGTTGTCTGTTCATTTATTTCAATCCATATCTCTTATCATCTCACCACAAGGGTGACGAACTGCCCACCGACATATTCCATAATTCGATTACCGCCAGATCGAGCGATAGTCCTTCGACAGAACAAAGTTACATGTACGCTACTGTCAGAGGAAGCATGGAAATAAGTTAAATGAAAGACCCTAATTTATGCCATTGGGAGACAAGGAACTGAGTTGAAAGATAAATTTCTGTTCTGTAATCTTACGAATTTGCCTTGTCGATGTTGTTTTGATGGAGAAGTAAGCTCATATGAGTATAAATGAAGTCTTAGGTGTTCCCAATTAGAAGGCTCCAGGAGATTAACACATGAATTTAAATCTGTTGTATTGTTTGTTGTTATGTTGTCTTGCAATGCATTACGTTTTTGAAAGAATGGCTGAGAAGATTGAAGTCATTGTTTAGAGAAAGATCTAGGGGCTTCTTTGTTGATGTTTTTTTACATTCCTTGATGCTCTAGAAATCCACCTCCTAGTCTTTAGCTGTCTCATCAATGTAAAGCATTTTGCAGAAGTTATACTGTAGATTACATTGGATGATGTGCAAACTATTGAAACAATAACCAACAATCTGTGATTCTGATTGAGCATTTTGGAAGTGTGAATGTGACAATGAAAGTAAATGGCATTCTGTCTTGCTTGGATCTTTGTGACATTTGAAATACTGTTTGTTGATCAGTTTGTTAAGCATGATTAGTAAGCCTGAATAGCACCTGATTGGCCCATTCATGTTATAGCCTGAATAGTGTTCTCCACAAAGCCTACTAACTGTAAGTTATAATGATAATTATGGTGACACAGTGTATACTAACTTCTCTTGGTTGTCTAATAAACTTTGTCACCGTCCTGCTCCTGAATGCATAATTTTATAGGACGTTCTATCTCATATAGAGTAATATACAGGTAACAAAAGTCAAAAGGCCAAAACAAGTCGTCAAGCTTGAAACCTCCTTGTTCTTGTTATCGACCGTACTGTAGACAGGCTTTTAGCCAGTTGGGTGTCTGGGTGTCCAGGTGTCCAGGTGTCCTGTGGACGGCCACTTTCTGAAAAAAATTGTTTTATTTTTCATATGTTGCCTTATAAATTGCTCATTTAAGCAGGTTCTAAAACACAATTTGGATGGTCACTTCACAAATTCTGGCTAAAAGCCAGCCTGTAGAGGGATGCAAATTCAAATCAATTGCTCCCTTCATTATTTATAATTTAACATTAAATTTGGTCATACATTAAAAAAAAGTGATTTATTATTTACACAATATTCATGTTATTTTCTCTACTGAAAAAAACAAAAAATGTTTTTGTTGTAAGACAACTGCTAACAGCTTTTTCTACCACCAAGATATTGTTCCATTTGTTCTTATTGTTATATAGGGTGGGAACAATGCTGGTCACACAGTGGTTGTTGACTCAGAGAAATATTTCTTTCACATGGTTCCAAGGTAAGAAGTAACAGTAGATTGTTTTGATATCTCACAAATCTATCAAATGATTCTTTTCCCTCTCAGGTCCAAGATAATTAGCCAATACAGGAATGAATTTTTATTGTGAGGCAAGACTGTCACATGTCCTATGGTTTGTGGGGGGCAGTGGTGGTGGGGGGGTGGGGCACAT